AGAGAAAGACAGATGAGAAATGTTTGCAGTAATATGAAAACTACTATTGTACTCAGTGGATCCACTGGTTGACACTTTTTTTTTTTTTTTTTTGTTTTTCTCCGGTACCGGGAACCGAACTCACGACCTTGCACTTGCCAGGCAGGTTTTTTTTTTTTTTTTTTTTTTTTGTGCTTTTTCCAAGGTTGAAAAGGTTTTTGTGGCTTAAATGTTGTTACATATTTTACAGCATTAGGATCTATGGAATATTTTGACAACTGCAACAGTTCAATGAAGTTGGTAATTTCTTCTTTTAATTATTTTTCATTGAACAGCTTTGGAGTTACATTTCTACATTTTGATTTTTAATATAAGAAAATAAAGCTTAAAATATGTCAAAGGATGCTTTAGTGAGAATATATAGGGATTATAATCTGGCTGGTACTAAATTATCTTATTTTTGTTAATGCTTCATTTTGATGAAATAATGTGGTGTTCTTCCAGTTACTATTTTTATGTGGGCCTGAACTTGTTAAATAAATTGATTTGTAAGGTTTCACCTGCTAACCACCCATACCCTGATCTTCTCAAATGGAGAACAAACCTACCTTTATTCAGTTAAATAACAATCTGGAAAAAGTGCCCCTCACTCCTACCCCTGCACCCATAGTAACATTTTAAAGTGGAACGTTTTAGATTTTTTTAGGGTAAATCATTGTTTTTAAAGACTAGTGGTCAAATTATTTTAAGTCTGTTTTAGAAATTAGAGATGTATTGTTTCTATTGGGTGCATATCACCAATTAATACGTTTGATTTCAGATCTACAACTTACTGCTTTGTAAACTTCGCCGAGGTAAAATGAAACCATTTGGCTACTTGAACTGATCTACATTACATAGGTTTTTTTCCTAATGACATTTGAAGTAGATAACATGTCAGAAATAGAAGTGAATGAAACAATACATCCTCCACACTCTGAATTGGCATAATGCTAAATATACTTGTAGCTAATTTCTTAGAGACTATGAACTGCAACATTTTTTAGTTGAAGCCTTGTTGTACAAGGAGAGATATTAAGGACAGAGCTTTCTCCACACTAAAATGTATCCAGAATGTTTGCCTATTCTAGAATTCTAAAGGATCAGTCAGTTTTGCATTGTAACTCATTTTTCTAACTCAATTAATATTGGCGTATGGGTTTTCTTAAAAAATACAGATTGTTCTCGAGAATAATGACATATATATAGTTTTTTAAGGGTGAAACTTTATTTTAAGTTTTTTAAAATACAAAACTACCATTCGTATTAGCAGATTATGTGGTGGCATGGATGATACAAGGATTTGGGGGTTACTTGTGTTTAAAATTATGTAACTTCGGGTTGAGTAAAATTATACTTAAAATAAAGCATTCCCTTTGTAATTTTGATTTTTTTCCTCAATTTATAGATGTTAAAGAACACATAAAAAAGTTTAAATATTAAATTACTCTAGAAGTATTTTCTAGATTTAAAAGTACTAATGCATTCTATTAATAATAATGGTAGCAGTTTGAAATTTTGTTATTACATTATCTTAAAACTTAACTATGGTGGCGTCTATAGTAACATATTTATGTCTCTGATTTCTTTGCAGCAAGGAGTAAACAATGCTGAGAAATTTGACTATGTAAGTGCAACATAGAGTTCTGTTTATGCTGTATTGCTTGTATATTTGTCTTATGTTTACTAATACTTTCTAATTTTGGTTCATAGGTGATGCAGTTTTTGAATAAGATGGCTGGTAATGAATATGTTGGATTCAGTAATGCCACGTGAGTCTAATTTGTAACTTAGGCTTTTTTAGTTGGTCAAAACTCTTTAACAAAAACTCTAGATTTTACAGTTTTGTTTTCACTATTGCTTTGTTACTTCTCCTGTGTACACGTGAATATTTACTGTTTTTAGAATTAATGTGCTCTCTATTAGTCCTCAGACTGATTTCTGTGAAAATTACCTAAAATTTCGTCACTAGAGAAAAATCATTTCTAAGTTACGCAACAGGAACATTTAAAAATGTTAGTTTTAATAAATTTATTTTCTCTGCACATATAAGCAGAAACCCCAATTTACCTCAAATTACTGGGGCTCAATTTTCTTGCCTGATACTTCCCTTTATCTCTGTCCCTAGCTAATTTGATTTTTGCCCCTATTTTGAATTTTGAAGTTTGTAATCTAGAGAAAATTTGAAAGATTGAACGATGAATATGTGATATCTTTCACCTAGCTATTTTTTGATTAATACTTAGTCTCGTTTGTTTTTTCTGTCTTCCTCTCTAGATAGATAAAAATGTGTTTTTCCATGCACATATATGTAATCTACATGTACAGAGATTTTTTTGCTCAGTCATTTGAAACATTTGTAGATAGCGTGACACTTCACCCTTGAATCACCTAGCATGTATGTCCTGAGAATAGGACATTATCCTACATGACCACAGTACCAGTGACACGTCCAAGAATGTTAATTTAAAAATATGGCAGTAGTCAATATGTAAATGTTCCCAGCTGTCCCCTTAGTGGCTTTTATAGCTTTTATTCGAAGATTTATGCTTTATATTTGTTATTGTGTAAGAAAATAGTCACCCTTAGATCTTTGCTTTTTAGAAATTTTGTTAAAGGGATTTTTGTTTGTGGGTTTGGTTTTTTTAAAGCTCTACAGTTTCATAGAGCAAGACTGACTTGGCTTGTCTCTGTAGGTCCACACAGTAAATATCAGGCTTGTGGGCTTCCAGGTCTTGGTTGGAGCTATGTAGTTCTGCTCATCAGCCTGAGTATCTTCCCCAGAAAGTTTTCAGGAATCTCATCTCACCTTTTCTGTGTTCTCAATAAAACAAGTTCTGTGTTCTGTTGAGCTTATTCTGTCCCGACCCCATCAGTTCCTTCAGAACAGGGTTGGGTTGTGTCTCCCACTTCAGTTCTGTGTCTGTTATCTAGCACATGAGGTAGTGTTGGATAAATTGAACTATGTGCAAAAGCACTGATAATTGTGAGTAGTTAATCCTTTCATCTGCACCATGTTGATATTTTTTTAAATCATGGCAAGTTAACATGACTCCACTTCCAATATTTTTCTGATCGTGAAAGCGTTAAAATGCAGTTAGAAGGGGCTGTGCATGCCATTAATGCAGAGCGCCGCCCGCTGGTCCTGCACAACGAGCAGTCTTCTGTCTCGTGCAGTATGTCCACGTCAAAGTCCTTTTCTCACGGATTGTGCTGTGGGGGTCTCACGTCCGTGCTGTCATCCTCTCAGTAAGCCACGCTTGGAGTCCAGGCTTGGTCCCAGACCTTACCTGCCGCCTCCGCTTCCTCTCAGCGCAGAAGACTTAGCCAGCTGCTTGCTTGCTGTTGTACTCCCTTCCCTTCCTGTCCCTACCGCCTGCCTCTTGGCTCTCATTCTGTAATAGAACACCAAGTAGAACACCCAGTTTTTTTCTTTCTCCCCTTTGAAACTCATGTCAGTGTTACCCTTAGAAAATATAACTCGGGCAACTAACTTTGTGTACCGTCAGGCACCATTATTTTTTTTGCCATTCACTGACCTTCATTTGGTCCCAGTCTTCTCTGCCAGTTTGATGTTTCTCCATTCTTCTCCACCTACTTTTTCCCAGATACATCAGATTAGGTGCTTTTACAGTGACTTCTTCTGTCTTTTGTACTTTCATAACTTTGTTCTTGCTGCATAGAACCTGCCACTGCCTAGGTTTCCCCTGAAATCGCTTCAGCCTGTGAGTCATCAGTATCCACAATATGAGTCCCTCCTTCACTGAAAGCTCCATGGAATCACCAAGTTAGAATTAACTGTTGCATGTACTTTTAGGGAGGCCAGAGGATTCTATAAATTTTCAGTGTATTTTAATGGTAAAATACTTGAGAATTTAAAAATTACGTACTGTGAGTGTATAAAATGTGAAGGTTAAAAAAAAGACCTGAATTTTTATAGCTGAGAAAATTCAAACCAGGAACACTACCATTTAAATGACTTGCCCAGGGCACGTGAAAGCCTTGTGACAGAATAGCGCTTAGCACTCAGCAGTCCGTGTTCTTTATACTGCCCTTTGCTGTGCAAATTAAAGAAACATCGTTCTTCTATGGAAAGTAAATAGCAGATTTTTTTTCTTCTAGGTTTCAGTCTGAAAGAGAAAGTGGAGATCGAAATTTTGCAATAGGATACTACTTGAAAGAAAAGAAGGTCTTTAAATTGTTTCTATTTCAGATTATTCCTTGTTTACTAAAGTATGATGGCATATGCAGTGATATCTCAGTTCTCAGACAGCTCCAAGATTAAACTTTCCACCACTCAAACAGCAAAGTTAAAAAAGAAAACAACTGCTCTTTGTTGAAACTTTCTTTGATCAAAGCTGATCAAAAATCTGACTTGACAAAACCTGCCCCACCTTACCGCTGACAGGAAGGGGCGGCTGATGGCTGACTCTGAGCACCCCTCCTGCCCAGACAGCATATAGTGCTCGTGGAATCGGTGGGCCTCAGAATCAGTTTTTTGATTATTCATTATTTCTTATGGGGAAGACATGTTCAGTTCCCAAATTTTTCAGTGTTTGAACACAAATTTGGAGTGAATTGAATTTGACAACTGAGGTATCACACACTAAGAACTTAACAATGGCCTTTGAGTAACTAGTTTTTACTACTGAAAATCCAGAAGATTTGCAAAGCTCTCTTGAGTCAGTTTTACCAAATCGTTAATGTTACTGTTAAATTGCTTTGTATCTGGCAGTATCCAAATATTTGAGTCTTTATGTTAATGCACATTCTGCTTGAGGTTTAGTACTTTTTAAAGAAGCCTGATTGCTGTTGATTACTGTTAATTTTTAACATTTTCAGTAGCTAATCCAGTAATTGATTTATGAATTTGAATTATTTTCGCTGAAATTAGTATCTGGAAATTCATATACTGTAATGTAATGTAATTTTACTTTATTATTTAATTTCATGTTAGCACTCTTCTATACATCAAACTGTTCTAAATTAAAATGAAATGCTGTATATTTTTTAAACTTAATCGTAACATAGTCTCATTTATCCATGAGTATACTTTTTTCCTGTGTGCCTATATTTTAAATTACTTTTGTGCTTTTTCAGTGTTTTCCAGAAGGTACAGACATGGTGGGCATCCTGGACTTCTATTTCCAGGTAATTTACTTTAATTGTCCAAATTGTATATATAAATAGGTGTGCCACATTTTGCAAAATAAAGATGTCTCTGAAATTTTGACTCTAGGCCATTGACTTTAAAAAATACCTTTTGAAAGGCAGTTTCATGTCTGTATCTTCTAAAAATTGATGCCTCAGATTAGAACAGGAAAAAATTTCTCAAAATACAGGAAATGATGTATAGTACTGGAAACACTCTTCTAATTACAAACCACGCTCTGTTTTATACTTTGGGAGAAGCTATTTCTCTATCAGTGTTCATATTCAGCGTTTTGAAATGTCAGTTTCTTAGCTGATTTGCAGTCTTCTGTAATCTTCACTACTGCTCTGTCCTAGGTTAATTGCTGCTAGGAGGCTAATTGCTTAGCTGGTGTGGTGCATTTCCTTCTGAGTGAGCGTAGTTGTTAGTACTACCCTGGAGCTCGAGACAGACCATGCCGTAAGCTGTTGTGTACACACCTCAGTTCAGTGCTGCCTGTTGGAGACCGCCAAAATTTCAGTTACTCCTATGTGTGAATTTGAAATGTTGAAATTTAAATTTAAACAATGAAATTTAAGTCATCTTTCTTTGAGAAAGTTTTTCATGATTAAGTCAATTTTAAATGCTTTTGCTTGCTATACTGGGACAGTGTAGCAAGGAGATTCTGTGGTTCTGGAGAAATAGAATTTTTTTTAATATCAATAAACATGGATGCTGAGCTTTGTTACAGGTGAAATGTCAAGAATTTTAGCATTTTTCCCCTCTAAGATGGTGATTTCTCATGTAGATATTTATAATGATGCTACTGTGTGTTGCTTTGTCTGAAAAGTGTATCGATGGCTTGCTTTTTCCTGGTGTGTTAAAAATACTTACACTTCTGCTTTCCAAGAAAGCATTAATATTTAAGCATATATGAATATCACATAAGGCAGTAACAAATCCTAGTGTTTAGGAGCTGGCTCATGCAAGCCTAGTTCTTGTTAAAACGCTAAATTATAAAGGGGCAAAGAGCTTTGGTCTCCCAAAATCTTTGGCATGTCATCAAGTTATATTACACTCATCCCTTTGCAAGAAATATTTCAGATCTGTGTGAAATGCCAAATCCAATAGGTTATCTTAAAAGGTACCTGTAACGTGAAAATGATCGGAGCCCAGAATTTCAGTGTTCACCATTTTCCTTGCTCAGCTCTGCTCCATTGAAGTGACTTGTGAGTCAGCCAGCGTGATGGCGGCAACCCTGGCGAATGGTGGCTTTTGCCCGATCTCTGGTGAGAGAGTCCTGAGTCCTGAAGCTGTTCGAAACACACTGAGTTTGATGCATTCCTGTGGCATGTATGATTTCTCAGGGCAGTTCGCTTTTCATGTAAGTGTTTATTAGTCTTAATTTTCACAAACAAGAAGCTAGTCTGGACCAGTTCTTTTAAAAATACAGTTTGAACTTTGCTCCTAAAGCTGTATATTAATTTTTGAAAGAGAGGCTTGTTTTAAGGTTAATCTTTTACAAATTGGTAAGGAATAGAGTTAAATTGTCTACCAGATGTTCTTGAAAACTTGGAATTTTAATTTACATAGAAGCTGTTCTTGAGGCGTTTCAGCGTGCAAGGTTAGTATAGACTGTCTGCTTTTGCTTGTTAATACTCAGCATTATGGGGATTACATACTTCAAAAACCCTTCCAGTTGAAAAAGAGGGCATAGATACAGTGTTTAACATCTTTGGTTACAGCCACAGATGTTTCAAAGGATGTAAAGTTTTGTTAAACCTTAAAAATGTACTTCCGGTTCGGTCACACGCTGGTGGCTTGTGGGTGTTCAGTACAGGCCTCTCTTATGTCACCCTGTTCGTGCCGTGTCGTGATGCCCTTTAAAAACTTGTTTCATTTTAGAAATTTTCAAGTATACTGAGCTTGAAAAATAATTATGAATTTTTGACAAATCTGGCTCCATCTATATGCACACTTCCTCCACGTAACAGTACCATTACTATATGTGAAAAACTTGCATATAAAACACTACTTTGTTTTGTTTTATTTAAAAACACTAATAGCATTAATTTCGTATCACTGCTACATTTAATATCAACATATTTAGCATTCATATTTCCTGGGTCATTTTATAAATTATGATTATGTTACAGTTTCAGACTTAGGGTGCATGCGGCCGGGAATATAGCTCAGTGGCACAAGTGCCTGCCTGGGAAGCGCAAGGTTCTCAGTTCGATTTCCTGCACCAAAAAAAAAACAAAACAGACTTAGGGTGCATGGAAAGACTATACATTGAGATTGGTGTCTCTCTTTAATCTACAGATCTCCTTTTAGTCTCTTTCTTATTGAAAACACTGCGTCTTTTATCCTGTATAATTTCTCAGTGTTTAGATTTTGCTGATTACATCCACTTCTGTTGTCCTTTGTATTTTTCTTGTAAATTGTTAGATCCAAATCAGGAGGTAGGGTTTTTGTTCGCTTATTTTGCTTAGTTTTGTGCAAGGTTGCCTCATTGGTTTACATTTGTCAAGAGGTACTTCATAGTCAGGCTGAGTTGGCACATACCTATAGTCAGTACTCTGGAAGGCTGAGGCAGGAGGATTGCAAATTCCAGCCCAATCTGGGCAGTTTATCAAGATCTTGTCTCCACATGAAAAAATAAAAGTGCTGGGGATGTAGCTCAGTATGAAGGTCAGATTCAATCCCCAGTACTGCTAAAAAAAGAGAGAAGTACTTAATGTCTAAATGTCAGCCGCTAATAAACACCAACTATCCTGAGGATACTAATTTGCCTTTCATCATAATGGTTGCCAGGTTTTGCATATAAGCCTTTTTGAAGCACACTGATTTGAATTACGATTTGTCTTATTCCTCAGAGCTTTCTCAGATAGTACAATATACCTAGAAAATCTTTTAAGACCATACAATTTGTCATTATTTATAGTTATAAATTTTTTTTAAAATAACTTCTTACATAAAAGCAATGCATGCTTATTTTAGCAGAGTTAGAAAATTAGTCAAGAATAAAATGAAAGTATCCATAACCCCACAGTTTAAATGTGACTACTTTAACTTCTTAGAATGTATCTTTCAAAATTTTTTCTATATTCTAATGTATCCCAAACTGTCACTGATCATTCAAGAGAAGCAAATTAAAACAACTCTGGGATTCCTTCCCACCCTGGAAAGAATGGTTATTATCAAGAAATCAAATCAATAACAAATGCTGGAGGGGCTGTGCGGAAAAAGGAGCCCTTCTCCACTATTGGCAACGTAGACTGGTATAACCACTGAGGACGTCAGTGTGGAGATTCCTCAAAAAACTAGGATTGGAGATCCCATTTGACCCAGCTATTCCCCTTCTGGGTATCTTCCCAGAAGGATTAAAAACATTGTACCACAGTGATAGATGTTCACCCATGTTTATAGCAGCACAATTTATAATACCTAGATCTTGGAAACAACCCAAATGCCCATCAACTGAGGGGTGGATAAAAAAGATGTGGTCTTATTTTATCATGGAATATTACTCAGCCATAAAGAAGGGTAAACAGGAGACTGTTATAGGTAAATGGATGAAACTAGAGACCATACTTGTAAGTGAAATAAACCAGTCATAAGTGTGTAAAGATCGTATTGTCTCCCTAGTGTGAGAAGCTGAAAGAGTAAATAAGATCCAAAGTGTAAAATAGATTATTGTAAAAGGGGAAGAAACTTAAAAAGGAAAGAGAAACTGGTTTGGGGGAATGGAGAAAAGAAGGAAGGGAAAAGCAAAAGGAAAAAATATATATATGTGTAGTTAAGATAGTTATGCTACTATTTCTCTTAGTTCGTTGAAAAGGTGGGTTTGTGCTAATATTGTTTGGACAATTAAATGCTGATATCTTGTACTCTGAATAACTAATTTAAATATAACAATATGCAACGTATGAACCATTGTTACCCCCTTACATTGTTTTGGAAATTTTTTGTTTTTTCTTTAAAATTTAAAAAAAATCAAACTTTTATAACTTGTCCTTTTTATTTACTATATTAAAAACAAGTTGATAAATATTTGCCTACATTTTTTTGCAGAAATTCTCTTGCCTGTATTTATGTCATGATTTTTTAGCCAATTCCCTAATGGTAGACATGACAGTTTTCATTTACATGAGTCTCTATTTTACTGTGTTATTTTTAGGTTGGTCTTCCTGCAAAATCTGGAGTTGCTGGAGGCATTCTTTTAGTTGTCCCCAATGTCATGGGCATGATGTGCTGGTCTCCTCCTCTGGACAAGATGGGCAACAGTGTTAAAGGAATTCACTTCTGTCATGTAAGTCTGTGTTCTTAATAAAGTAAAGACCATAGAAGACGAGCCAGCTGCTGATTCCATTTTCCATAGCTCACTGACTTGGTACTCAGCCTGCCTGTGTACCTGGATAGCCAAGGGAGAAGCTCGGAGGAATACAGGTGGTTCCCATTCGGTTGTTCTCACAAAGCATTACATTTGTTTGATGTTTATGCTTTAATTTCTATGATTGCAATTAATTTGGTTTTCAAAACCAACAAAAGAGAAGTAATTTAAAATCAAAACATTTTAAGAATTACAGTTTATTATATCATCTTTAATGTGAATAGTTTAATGTATTTACTACCTTTAAAAATCTTTAAGGAAATATGCAAATAAAAATAAAATTTAAAAATGTTACTTACTCTTGATTAGTTCAGTACTGTGTTTTCATACCAGTTCTTGCTCATATTTCAGGTTCTGATTTTATTTACATTTATTGCTTCGTAGAGTTTATATTAAGTACCAGTATATCTTCTGCAGACTTTTCAATTAAAATTGTTACTTATTATTTAGTCTTTCATATCTTACAAAAATTAGAGAATAACATTGGCTTATATATAAATTGTGAAAGATTGTAACAAGCTTACTTACATTTCACCGTACTTTATACTTATTTCATAGAAGAATTCTTTCATGTAGCTTGTTACTGTAGACCCCCTTAGAGGGGGAAAGAGAATTTGAGTGGTTAAGCCCTAGAGTTAGCTGGTCAGAATGCGCTCACAGCTTGTACCTTACTCTGATTTCAGTCTTCCTGGTGCATTGTGGGCTTGATTAGCATGCAGTGGTGTTTCTATGACATAATAGTTGATCTGGACAGGAATAAGCATAGTTCATTAAAATGTGAGCACTTAGCAACTGAATAGCTAATATCTTATACGTGTTCCCTATAACTTTTTACAGGATCTTGTTTCTTTGTGTAATTTCCATAACTATGATAATTTGAGACACTTTGCAAAAAAGCTTGATCCTCGAAGAGAAGGTGGTGATCAAAGGGTAAGCCAGATTCTTTCTTAGTTTATTCTGTAGCATTCTTTTAAGAGGGAGAAAGTGAGACTTGGCTGTTGAAGTAAAGTTTGAGTTTGATAGTGGTCTCTTGTTTTTGCCAGTCTTGAACGAGTGTAAACAAATTGATACCTTAATCCTGGATCACTAGTACAAGGTATTAAATATTGTTTTGTTATTTAAATTGGAAGTAGCCTAAGGGCAGTGGCTGTTTTCTGCTGTTTTAAGCAAGTTTTAGAATTGATTCTGTTAAAAGAAGACATTAGAATGTGCTACCTGTTATATTAAAAAGAAAGCCTTATTTTTACTCTATTTGTAGTGACAGTTTTTAATTGAAGTTATATTTAACTTATTGCTTACTTGTGGATGGATGACTAAATAAATGGGAAGGTATTATATATTGACGACAGACGTTGTAAAGCCTCAACATATTTTATGTTGAAGAGTAAACATTTTTTTAGAACGAGTGTTTAATGCAGTATTCCTCATACTCTTTAAAATACTCTATTGTTACTGTTCGGCTTCATATTATATATACATACACACACACATACATGTGCGTGTATATTTTTGGAGCTATTTTCACTGGACCAGGGGGCTCGTGTTGAGAATAATAATTCAATTCCTTTGCATCCCACATGGAAAATGTTTATGGTAACATAACCTGTTATGCTTGATGCACTTGTAAGTAGTGAATACTTTACATACAGAGTACATTTTTGTTAGTGCCAAACTAAATTTTTTTGTTTGATCAATCAAAGTAACTTGTGGTAACAGAGGATTTTGCAAAGCCGACAGAGTAGGACTTGGTGGGCGTCAGTGGGAGTAACGTGGAGCAAGATACCTGATGGCAGGGGGTGGAAATGTTACCAGGTTGTCGTAACGTTCATCGACAAATACCATTTTATAGCTTGGACCTTTCTTCACCCAAGTGCACTAATTATGTATGTTGCTTGAACAACTAGCATTCCTTTGGACCATTGGACTATGAAAGTCTCCAACAAGAACTTGCTTTAAAAGAGACAGTATGGAAAAAAGTGTCACCTGAGTCAAATGAGGACATCTCCACAACTGTAGTGTATAGAATGGAAAGTCTGGGAGAGAAAAGCTAAAGAAATGGGTCCTAGTTTCAAAAGTTCTTCATTTAACCTTTCAACAAACATCTTAAGCTTTTTTGAAATATTTATTTGATTTTGTGTGTGTGTGTGTTCTCAACCGCGGGTGCTGGAACCACAAAACTTTCTTTCCCTTGTAATCTTTGTATGAAGATAATAGATTTAAAATGGATTTTTTGGTATTTAAGAGTACTTACAAGTTATGAAGCAAGTTTGCTTTATTTTTTAAAAATGCTATAAGGAAAATTATGAAAACTTTCTTCATGTAATTAAAATTTTAAATACATAGTCAGATAATTCCATTGTCATAACTTCTAAAACTCACAAATTGAATTCATAAGTTTCGTTGCAGTTTTTTTCTACTTTTAAAACCAACATGATGTTGATAGTGAAAATAGAAAGTGCTTATATGCTAAATACAAAGCTAAAAAGAGGCAGAATACAGTGGTACCTTGGTTCATGAAAGCTTTTGTTTGCAAACAGTTTGATTCTCAAACAAATGTCTAGCAACAATTTGCTTTTCTTTGTGAACTCTACATCTGGTGATATATATAACCATGGCCATCTTTCCCACATGAACACGAACACAGACATGGCCGTTTCCCCCAAAATCTTAGAGTAAATTAAGTTCATGGACCAAAGTTCCACTGTAATGAATCCCAAATTACTGTATTTAAAATAGCTGGTCATAAAATTAGCTTAAGTTTACATGTATGTCATTTTTAGTGATAGAATGGCTTTAAATTTTTAAAGATTAATTTAAAATTTTATCAAACTTTTAAGTAGATTTTCTTGCTTCATCACGTTGCAACTCCAGTGTTCTGTCAGAATTACCTATACAGGAAGGTCTTTAACCTGACTGAAACATTCCAGCCAAAGAATTTCAGGGGTGAGATACTGACATGTCTCATTGTTAAAAAGCTATAATGGTTAGTTAATCATTGGTTAGGAGAGACAGGGAGAGTCTTAAGTGTGGATTTTATTTTCATATTATCCACCTAGCTTTTTCTGTTATATTTAAGTATGAATGGAAACTTTTGATTTTTTTTTAGCTTTTAATAATTTTATTACCCTAATAATTTCATAGATGCTAATGAATATTTCTTTTGTGATAAATTATAACAAAGTTTGTTCTATTTGAACTATTATTAGAGAATTTAGAAAATGAGTTTAGTAAGTATGCTACCTAAAATATGTTAGATCTGAATCCTTTTGCTCGGTTATAAAAATGCAATATTGAGAATCAAAACTTGTTTTTAAAAGGAGAACCTAAGGTTCTACATAACCTGATGTCAAATAATTATGCACAGTATTTTGAAAATCTGTCTTGGCAAAGTGATTGTAAAGTTCTGTAAGGCCTATTCACACTTCTTCCTCCTGTGTGCGCCCCTCAGGGTGCCCCTGGAGCGGTGGCATGCATGCAGTCGGGTGGAGACTGTAAGAGCCACGTAGCAGAAGAGACTTCACTGGGTTTGTTACGTGCCAGTGCAAACGTAGACAGGGAAAATCTTACTCACATGAGGTCTTGAATTTGGGGACTGTGTTAGGAAAGAAGTTCCTTCCCAGAGGTGCTGGTCGAAAGCCTTTTGGGCTGACTTGTGTATAAATTTAAATCCCTAAGCCATTAACTTTTAGATTTTACCAAGGCCTTTATTTCCTTCAGTGATCCTCGATGGTCAGATGCGTATCTTACCTGGATGGTCTCAAGGGTTTGCCCGCTCTGCACCTGTGAGTGCTGTCAGCTTTCCGTTGGTTCCTCCAGGACCATTTGTGATTCACGTACTTGAATGCCTTAATTGAAAAAAAAGGTCTTGTTTTTTTCCCCACTATGCTCACAATTTTGGTATATTTTGCTATTTCATTCAGAGATTGGTCTTTATGAAATAAAGATTGTTTTTACATTGTGTGCATATATTTGTATAGATCTCAAAATTAGGTCAGTTTATGACACTTCGTATAACGTTGTAAAGGCTTAAATGCACACTTAGGAGGGAAGTACGGTTATGCAGGCGGCTGTGTTGAGAGCATGTTGTGAAGACCAAGCATTAGAAATGCTTGTAGGAAGTTATAAATGGGAGAAGAGGTAAGATGTTGTGAATAGGCCTACAACAAAAAGAAAAAACTTTGCCAGTTTTAAGGACACATTTTGATTCCTTCAGTATTCCTAGTATCTTTTCAAATAAAGTTATTGAAAAGTACCCAGTGTTGTTGGGTTTGATGTTGTGTGCCATTATTGATTCTTGATATTCAAGCATTTGCAAGATAGCATATTTGTTTTTCTTTTTTTCCTTTTTTTGCATCATTAACATTTCATTTGAAATGCGTATTCTTTCTAAAATACTTTGTTTTTAGCATAAATGTTGTGCATTTTATCTTAGTGTTTGGATTGAAACATTTGTGTTGTTCAGCTTTCTTTCATTTGCTTTGTATATTTAATAATGTACCTTTATTTTCCAGTTTGCCTTTTTGTATTGTACAATAAATTTATTTTAAGCTGATTTCATTGGTTTTTTTTTTTTATAAAAGCAACTCTAACCTTTTAAAAGTATGATAGATGGGATTTTAACTTAGAAATTATCCTTCATGAAGATAACTTTTCAATGTTCATTTTTTCTGGCTGCCTCAAAGTGAAACTAGAAATACTCCAAAGGGATTGATTTGATTTTTTTTTTAAATGCAGTATAGTATTGATGGATTTTTAGGGGGGAGTTTGTTTCCTATTGGTTGTAGCATTACTTGAATAAAGACTTTTTCCAAATATTATTGTTGTTTTTCCACTTGATAACTTGAGGAAAAGCCCTATTTCCAGGAAAAGCTTTTTCTGAGGAAGAATATGATATTCTTCACTGCTTAATTCATTTTATCCATTGTTGTCTTAACAGCAGGAAAAGCATTGTTAAATTGAGTGTTATAGGAATGATTTAGAATAAAACTTCCTCAGAATTTATACTGAGTGGAATGATACACAAAAAGTCACCTTCACTGCTTTCTTGTATGATTTAATTTTCAGAAGGAGCTTGGGTTTTTCCCTACAACCCTGGTCTTACAGTTCTTTATTTGATCAAATCTGCTATTCATATTCTAGAGATTGCTCAAATATATTGTTTTAAAACTTTGAAAGGGGAAATACTATTGTGTAGATTACTAAGGAGTTTCAGCATATATTGTGTGTGTACAGCAGTGTGTGATCACTTGCATTTTTTTAACCTATTGAAAGCAGAGAGAAAGGAGACTCAAGTGCCTGGTGCTCTTTATGTGACAGTGGCGTTTCTGTGTGTATGGGAGGAACTGCTGGCACACACTGATGATAAATGGTGGGAGTGCATTGCACGTGAAGGTGCTTGTGTATTTATCCCATCTATCTTCTAAATCTATCCCTGCTTTCCGCATACCATATTGTGTGCAAATAGTTCCAGGCCTTGCCATAAAAGAACCTTTTCTCTTGTTCCAAAATATATCTCAAAAGATTGTACTTAATTAAACTTGACTTTGAAGATTTATGCTTTCTATTGTTCCCGTTCCCATTCTTGCCAACACTGTCAGGGTAAAAAGTAATTAGCGATATTGGGGAACTCCTACAAAGAAAAGGCAGGAACATCTGATTGCATGTGAAGTCTGATTTTAAAACATTTCCCAGTATTTATTACGAAGAAGGATTGTGTTCATTTTAAAGCAAGTAGTGTATTTCTCAGACTGAGAGTTTACTTTGTGGAATTTTTTTTCTCCCTACAGTGCTAGAAATTGAAGC